AAGCCCCAAAACCTTAAACCCTAGAACCCTTTAACCATGAACCCCAAACCCTAAACCCTCAACCCTAAACCCTAAACCCTAAACCCTTTTTCTCTGTTGGCCCAGTTCACCGGCAGCAGCGGCGCGTGCCCGAATCCAAACCTGCTCATGTCGCCTGGCGCTGTTCGGTGGGGTGTTTAGGGTTTGCGGTTGTTTGGGTTTCTGAGTTTCGGGCTTGGTGTCTTTCGGCTAGGGGTTTAGAGATTGGGGGAGTGGGGCTTCGGGTTTGGAGTTTAGACTTTGGGATTTGGGTTTTTTCGAGTTCACGGAGAGCGCCTGGTAACATCTTTTCTGGTGGTGGTGGCGGCGGTGGTGGAGGGGGGAAGGGCATGGTATCCGAGTGGCGAGACTACAATGAGGGCGCCTCGACTATACTAACTACATATGTGGGAGGCCTGACCTATGACCGATATCGATCGTAACCCGAGTCAGGGCCCATATAGACTCCAGAACCCCTAGAAGCCTCTATAGACCCTGTAAATGCAGGGGGATCGGGTCTTGGAGTTCCTCAGGTGTAGGACCCCTCTCCACCGGTGGTCTCCCGTTATAGGTGCTGCACAAACGGCCCCCCAAACCCTGAATCCCCAAAGCCCGAAACCCCGAAGCCCTGAAAACCTACGCCCTGAACCCTCCTAAACCCTAAACCCTAAACCCTAAACCCTAAACCCTAAACCCTAAACCCTAAACCCTAAACCCTAAACCCTAAACCCGAGCATCAGGCCGAAGGCACCCGACACGAGCCAGTACGTGAAGGCGCCCGACACGAGCCAGTACGTCGTGCAGGCCAGCCATTCGAACTAAACAATAGGGTTTAGGGTTTAGGGTTTAGGGTTGAGGGTTCACTCGGCAATCTGAGATCCTCTACAGGCCATGCTTGGACCTCAATTAAAAGTACTGGTCCATGTACCTACACAGTGAATGCTTGGGCCTTAATTAAAGTACTTCCTATATAGGGGCTTTTGGGCCCACGTGATGAGGTACGTGGAGCCTTATAGGTCTTAAACCCTCGACCTCTAACCTCTCAACCCCTCAACCCTCAGCCCTAAACCCTAGACCCTAGACCCTAAACCCTAAACCCTAAACCCTCCCTCAAACCCTCAAACCACCCAAAGCCTGCACCTTCTAAACCCTTAGCCCCAATGAAACATGCATCGGTCATCCAAATCGGAAACATACTTCAGAGCACTGGCCATTTGGGTCCGCGTGGGCTAGGCTTTGCAGTGTGAGGGCTTTGGGGTTAGGGGCTTAGAGTTTCGGGGGGACAGGGTGTTGGGTTCAGGGTTGTAGTTGTTCAGGGTAGGGGTTGGTGGTGGGGCTCGCCCTAAGCCCTAAACGCTGGAACTGAACCCTAAACCCTAAACCCTAAACCCTAAACCCTAAACCCTAAACCCTAAACCCTAAACCCTAAACCCTAAACCCTAAACCCTAAACCCTAAACCCTAAACCCTAAACCCTAAACCCTAAACCCTAAACTAAACCTTATTATAAACCCTAAACCCTAAACCCTAAACGCGTTCTAGGGTTTCAGGGGGTTGCGGCTCGCGGAGTCAGGCGCCATATGTGCGGCCCCCTTACTCGCCGACCAATCAGGCACAGGCACCCCGGGCTGGGCTAGGGGTTTGGGGTTTGGGGTTTAGGGTTTAGGGTTTAGGGTTTAGGGTTTGGGGTTTGGGGTTTGGGGTTTGGGGTTTGGGGTTTGGGGTTGGGAGGTTTACAGGGTTACGTAGGGTCTAGGATTCACGGCTTGCAGTAGGCTTTGTGAGGGCTGACTTCGCTTTTGTCCTTGGAGATTCTCGGGAAAGGAGCATGTTTCGCGGAATGTTTTCCTTGCATCACAATATGAAAAATACTATAGGGGGGGGGGGCTTGGTAGCCCAATGGTACCCCTTTCCCATCAGTATAAGATGGTTACTTGGCTACTAAAGACGGCACGATGGAAGAACCTTCCTTCGAAGTCTGCCGGGTTTAGGGTTTAGGGTTTAGGGTTTAGGTTTTTAGAGTTTCAGAAGAGGCATCCCAATGATCTCGCAATGTATGGTGACCAGTGATGGAGCTCGAGAAGTGCTGTCAAAGGCTTCCCAAACCCCGGACTTACCCTAAACCCTGCACCTACCCTAAACCTTGAACCCTAAACCCGAACCCTAAACCCTAAACCCTAAACCCTAAACCCTAAACCCTAAACCCTAAACCCTAAACCCTAAACCCTAAACCCTAAACCCTAAACCCTAAACCCTAAACCCTAAACCCTAAACCCTAAACCCTAAACCCTAGCCCTAAACGCCAAACACCAAAGAATGGGAGCTGTGGGATCTTCAGGCGTCGTATGTGCGGCCCCCCTACTCACCGACGAATCAGCCGGCTCAGGCACCTCCAGTGGTTAGGGTTTAGGGTTAAGGTTCAGGGTTTAGGGCTTAGGTTTAGGGTTGGGATGTTCCCCCTTGTACTAGCAGTCCTTAATCGGGACTACAGTACCTCCCCCCCTCCCCCCCCCCAAATACAATCCTGCTAAGGACTTTAGTATAAGGGGGAACATCCAAGTTTAGAGGTTTAGGGGGTGTTCAGGGTTCAGGGCATAGGGCCTGGAGGTTTTTGTTGGGGGTTCAGGGGTTAGGGCTTAGGAGCTCTTCCTGTTTGTCCCAGTGTTGATTGTACACGAGCTTGAACTACGGATTTTTGCCGCACATCGGGTAGAAGGATGCCTCTCAGCATGATGGAATATTCCCCGCATCAGAATAGGGCCCTTGCCGATTTGGGGGGGCTTACGATAATAGGAACACCTTATTGGGGACTTGCTTAGAAGGGGATCCTACTATTTGGGAGTCTATATTTGGGGGTCCCGCATTTTCGTGAACTCCCATATGTACTTCACTAACACCAACTGCGCCAAACTGCCAAAAGGGACGAGATCCTGAACTCTCATGTTTCTTTGACCCAAAGTATCTACTCCTCAAGCCCCTAACCCTTCAAATTCTTGAAAGCCTGAAAGCCCTTGAAGCCCCTGAACCCTTTAAACCCTTGACGCTAACACCCTTGACACCCTTGAAAGGGTTTAGGGTTTAGGGTTTAGGGTTTAGGGTTTAGGGTTTAGGGTTTAGGGAACGCTACATGAACCCCACACCCTCACCCCCAGCGCCCTTCATATGGGCAAGGCGACGGCGAAGTGGGTACAAGCTGGGAGTTGGAGGTCTTGAGGACCCTAAAACCTAAACCCTAAACCCGAACCCCTAAACCCTAAACCTTAAACCCTAAACCCTAAACCCTAACCCTGTATGCTACAGAGATGGGGGATTTCTGATGGAGCTCGGACGCTGTGCCGATGTACCGCTTCGGGTGTCCAGATAGACGCCCTAAACCCTTGAAAGGAATCCCCCTGGTACCCCCAAACCCTAAACCTAAACCCTAAACCCTAAACCCTAAACCCTAAACCCTAAACCCTAAACCCTAAACCCTAAACCCTAAACCCTAAACTCCACACCCGAGGTTGCCTACTTGCAACATCCGGGCACGATGCCAGTTCCGGGCACGAGTTCTCCCATGCGGTCTGTCTCTGCCTCTTGGACGACCCTCAGGTTGAGGGTTCAGGGTTAGGGTTTAGGGTTTAGGGTTTAGGGTTTAGGGTTTAGGGCTTAGGGCTTAGGGTTTAGGGCTTAGGGCTTAGGGCTTAGGGCGTATAGGCCTTTGCGTTTAGGGTTTAGGGTCTAGGGTTTAGGCGTTTTACTGTTTAGGTTCAGGGCTTCAGGTTCTTGTTTTTCACACCGCAGAATGTTCTCGCTCTTGGCTACTCATGACGATGCAACAAGGGCTTTGGGCTTAGGGCTTAGGGCTTAGGGCTACGGGCTTAGGGTTTAGGGTTTAGGATGACGGGTGGCATGTGTGTTCAACTGCTGAACCCTTTTGGAAGACGTCGCATTTTCGTGCCTGGGCACTTTCCGTCTCTGCGCGTGCTCCAAATATGCAGTGCGTAATTGTTTCCCTTGAGAACTAGGGTGCGTACGCCTTTGCAACCCTAAACCCTAAACCCTAAACCCTAAACCCTAAACCCTAAACCCTAAACCCTAAACCCTAAACCCTAAACCCGAACATCTAAGGCAGACCAAATGCGGCTGACGCTTCCACTTTCCAGCCGCGTGACGGGGCCCGGCCCCGCGGTGGCATAGCGCGTTGTGCTCTTAATGCCCATAGACCAAAAGGCATGAAACCCCTAAACCAGACGCCCAAAAGCCTTTCTAAGTCACCCGTCGGTTTAGGGTTAGGGTTCAGGGTTTCGGGTTTCGGGTTTAGGGTTTAGGTTTTAGGGTTTAGGGTTTAGGGTTTAGGGTTTAGGGTTTAGGGTTTAGGGTTTAGGGCTTAGGGCTTAGGGTTTAGGTTCTAGGGCTTGGCTTTGGCAGCTCATGGATGCGGACCTTCGAGAGAAGCGTACCCACTCTTGTTCCTTGTCGACTCGAAGCCCTAAACCCTAAACCCTAAACCCTAAACCCTAAGCCCTAAACCCTAAACCCCCTAAACCCTAAACCCCTCAGTGACTCTGCAGCCCAACACCTCCCTGAACCCCCAGGACGCTGACGAAACAAAGCCTCACCCTAAACCCTAAAAACCCTAAAAAACTCAAAAACCCTAAAGACCCAAAAAACCAAAGAAAACCTAAAAACCCTAAAAACCCTAAAAACCCTAAAGACCCTAAAGACCCTAAAAACCCTGAACCCTAAACCCGAAACCCTACCCTACACCCGCGTTGCATCATAAATCAATGAGCTTTTTCTGCTCTCCCCAAACCCTGCACTAAAGCCAAAGTTCGAAATCTTAAACTCCCAAACAACCAGCCCCCTAACCCCCAAACCCTTAGCCCAAACCCTAAACCCCAAACCCTCAACCCCAAACCCTAAACCCCAAGCCCTAAATCCTAAAACCCCAAACCCCAAGGCCTAAACCCCAAACCCTAAACCCCAAACCCTCAATCCTAAACCCCAAGCCCTAAACCCTGAACCCTAAACCCCAAGCCCTAAACCCCAAACCCTAAACCCCAAACCCCAAACTCCAAGCCCTAAACCCTCCAACCTCAGGCATGCAAGTGCCTCCGGGGCCTCCTTCCCCTCCGCGTGCCTCGCCGGCGTATAGTAGCCCTAAACCCTAAACCCTTTAAACCCTAAACCCTAAACCCCTAAACCCTAAACCGTCCCTAATTAACCTCTAAACTGACACTCTCTAGAAACCTTCCCTAAACCTTGAACCCTTAGATCGCCCCGAGTTAAGTTTTGAGTCTAGGGTTCTAGGACCGGAAGTATCTTTTTTAGGGTTGGGGTTCCCTTCTAGTCCCCTTAAATCCAAAAAGGGTACCCTTTTTATTACTAGGTTACTCCCGGGTCTAGGGTTTACAGATGGGGTTACTTAGATTTGTTTTTCGTGTTTGTGGGGTTTGTAGGGCTTTTGTATAATGGGGTTACTGAGCGTTTTTTCAGGGTTTGTAGGCTTTGAGGTCCGCGGATGAGGTTGAGGGTTCAGAGCAAGCCCGAGACCCTAAGCCCCTAAACCCTAAACCCTAAACCCTCAAGCCTAAAGCCTAAACCCTAAACCCTAAACCGCCCTAAACCCTTAGCATGGCTCCGCCAGGTGTTACCTGCTACTGAAAAGCTTTCGGCGCAGTACTATTTACGGTTTAGGGTTGAGGGTTTAGGGTTGAGGGTTGAGGGAAGGTTTCTAGACAGTGGCAACTTCGAGGTTAGGCGGTTTATGGCTCAGGGTTTAGGGCGTGCAGAGTTTTTTTGATAAGGGCTCATAGGGACCACTAGCCCACACCAGAACTGCCTTAGAGACTTCGGGTAGGGTTTAGAGTTTAGGGTTTAGGGTTTAGGGTTTAGGGTTTAGGGTTTAGGGTTTAGGGTTTAGGGTTAAGGGTTAGGGTTTAGGGTTGAACCCCCCAACCCCTAAGCTTAAGCCCTACAGACGATAGCTTGCGCCTTCACGGGAGCTCGGGATGGTGTGCTTTGGGCTCCCCTAAACCCTAAACCCTAAACCCTAAACCCTAAACCCTAAACCCTAAACCCTAAACCCTAAACCCTGGGCTCCTTCAATCCCCGGAAGCAAGAAGCAGATTCCGAGACACAGGCGCCACGAATGGGTCCGCAAAGCCGCCGCCCTGAACCCACATCAGATTCCTGAACCCCAAGCCCGAAACCCTTTAAGGATTAGGCTTCAGGGTTTTGAGGTTTAGACTCAAGTTTAGACCCTTAATTAACATATTCAACCTGAAGGTGAAGATTAGAAGGGGAAACGTCACAGACTTTCAGTAGCCGTGCCAGGCCAAAACCATTCGCCAATGTCAACGTCAGGAGCCCAGAAGAAATCAGGAGAGAGGTGTCCCATGAGGAGTACCTAGACCGTTCACGTATGACGACCTATAAACTCGGCGCCCCAACGGAGAGAACTGCACGAAGTATCCAACCTACCCTTAAGCAGCGACCCTAAACCCTAAACCCTAAACCCTAAACCCTAAATTATTACTAAACCCTAAACCCTAAACCGCTTTAAGGGAGCGAAGTTCGGTTTCTCTGGGGACAATTGAGGACTTAAGAAGCCCTAAGGGTCCATGTACCTCAAGATTATATACTTGGGCCCTATATTCCCTATATAGCAAGTACTTTAAGGCCCAAGTGTTCCCTATTTAGGTACATGGACCCTTAGGGAAGGGTTTGGGGCATTGGGTGATTCTAAGGTCGGCTGCCCTGATGGGCAAGAGATTCAGATTGCTCAAGTAACTACAGTGCATGAAAGCTTTCTAGGGCCCATAATGTGGATTTCGACAGTTCTAGAAAGTAACGGGCAAGGAGGACTAGGTTGCAGGCATGGCTTCCTGCGGAAGTTCCGCAGCTCTCGCCTACAGGCGTGGCCTTCGGTTTCGCCCAATCATCGCACTCTCGCCTAGGTGCTGCTTCCCCGCGGGTTTCCGGTTGCTGGCGTGGTCAGAGCCAATCCCTAAACCCTAAACCCTAAACCCTAAACCCTAAACCCTAAACCCTAAACCCCAAACGGTCCCAGTGCGCATTCAAAGGTACAATTTTCCCACTCCCGGATCGGAAAAACGTTTTCGGGATGTCTTCTCTCAGGTCTATAGGGCATTTGGATGAATGGTTTAGGGTTTAGGGTTTAGGGTTTGGGGTTTAGTTTGTGTGTCCGTTCTTTCTGACACGCTGTTAGCTGGCATTTCAGTTCTATCAGGGGATCTGCTGCGCAGTCTTCCAAATGGCTGGGTTTAGGGTTTAGGGTTTAGGGTTTACTGCTTAGGGTTTAGGGCTTGCCTGCTCCTCCTGAAGCACAGAGCTGTCGTCGCTTTCAGCTTGGATCATGCTCTTTTGAGTCACATGCACTGGTGATGTGCCATCGTCTCCCTCTGCTTGGGACATTGTGGATCTACTTCGGCAAAGCTTGTGCTTGCCTTCAGAACACGAAACCTCAAGTTGTGAGGGTTTACCGACGTCTCCCAAAACACCCTAAACCCTAAGCACCCTAAACCCTAAACTATAAACCCTAAAGCATACACTTCTAGGCAGTCTCATTGGGGTTCAGTCAGGACCACCAAGCCGTCTTATGCCCCGAGCTTCGACGGTTTTCGTCTTCAAGGGTATACCGTGAGGGACTCCTAGGGGCTCTAAGAGCAGCTATATGTAGCTCAGACGTGTTCCCTGCACGAGATAGTACTTAGAAACCAAACTACGGCCCATAGAACTCTACCGGCAACTAGGGGGAGGGGGTGCCCTCAGTGCAATTTCGGGTTTAGGGCCTCAATCCTAAACCCTAAACCCTAAACCCTAAACCCTAAACCCTGAGGCAACTTCGTCCGCAGCTACTTGCTGGTGCGAAAGAGACGGCGGAGGCAAGTTCTTGCCCCCAAAGGTCCCAAAAAGGGACTTAGGGTTTATGTGGGGTTTTAGGGTTGAGGGTTTTAGGGTTTGGGGTTTTGGGGTAGAATTTTCATGTTCAGGGTTTTGTCGATTTGGGGTATTGGGGTATAACTAGGTTTAGGGTTGAGGGTTTTTGGGTAGAATTTGGGCTTCGGGTTTTTGGGGTTGGGGGTATTGGGGTATAACTAGGTTTAGGGTTGAGGGTTTTGGGTATAATGAGGGTTTAGGATTTGGGGCTTGGGGTATGTGGGCCCAAAAAGGGACTTAGGGTTTAGGGTTTTTTTGGGGTTTGGGGTATTGGGGTATAGTTCGGGTTTAGGGTTTTTGGGGTTTGGGCTCTTGGGGCATCATTAGACTTTAGGGTTTAGGGTTTTGGGGTATTGGGGTATAGTTAGGGTTTAGGGTTTGGGGCTTGGGTTAGATTTAGGGCTTGTCGGGTTTAACTTTTAACCTATAGAATGAGATTATGAGGAAGGATGGTACCATACTTCTTGATGTCCCAGGGGTCCCATTTGTAGTACGATTATGAAATTAGGACCAACTAAATAGGGTCGGGGTACCTATTTCCATTACAGTACTACAGATGAATGCACCTAGTTCCAGAGCAGTGCCACAAATGAATTTTCGGGTTATACTACTAACTCCCAAAACCCCCCCAAACCCTAAACCCTAAACCCTAAACCCTAAACCCTAAACCCTAAACCCTAAACCCTAAACCCTAAACCCTAAACCCCTCAGGGTTGCTTTCAAGGGCATGCCCAGGGGGGGAGGGGAGGGGGGTGTCGGACATTTCTTCTGCCTTCGACCGTCGGCTCTTGGATTCGGCTCATACCGGGGTCTACGGTTTAGGGTTTAGGGTTTTTAGGGTTTAGGGCTGAGGGTTTAGGGTGAGGATTTAGGATGTAGGCCTGAGAGTTTAGGGTTTAGGGTTTAGGGCGTTTAGGGTTTCAAGGGTTGGTGATTTCGGATTTAGGGTTTAGGGCTCAGGGTTGAGGATTCAGGGCTGCGGGGTTAGGGTTTAGGGTTTGGAGCTGTCAAAACCCGATGCGTCTTGCAATCCAACAAGTCACCTAACCCCCCATGCCCCTACAATCATGGGTTCCCCTACTACCCCCCTCTATTCTGTCCGCCCCCCAGGTTCCCCCCCCTGAAATAACCGTAATTAGGCTTAATTTTCCCTCAATAGCCTTGACGATGAGGGGAACCTAGCAGGGAGCAGTATGGGGGGGGGGGGAGTTGGGGAACCCATGAGATAACGCCTCATGCACCCAGACGCCCAAAGGGACCCGGAAGTTATGAAGCCATCTTGAGCATCCCAAAGGAGCCCACCAAAAGGATCCTCAGAATTCAGAAGGGCCAAAGCCTTCAACAGCTTTATTCCTTTACACCTACTAAGTGAAGGGTAGTCGTTCCCCTAAAGGTTTCCCTGAATATACTCCGAATGTGGCCCTCATAAAGCCTCAGGGGTCTTTAAAAAGGGTCCCCAAACCCAAGGGTACAATTTTAGGAGTCCAAGGCAATTCTTGCGTTCAGGATTTCGGTTGGGTTTTTGAGGGTCTCAAGGGACTAGGACCCTTGGTTATTGCGGGGTTATTTTGGGAGGCCACGTAGGTATATAGGGACTACATAAGGTATAATAGTATGGAAAGGGGTTATGTAGGGGAATAAGATTAAAGGGTCCCTAAACCCTGAACCCTAAACCCTGAACCCTAAACCCTGAACCCTGAACCCTAAACCCTAAACCCTAAACCCTAAACCCCTCCTGGGGGTCCCTCCGTTTACCCCTTAAGGGTCTAAGCAAGCGGTTATGCAGGCGGCGGCTGCACATTGCAGCTTGGGAAGCATGTTTAGGGTTTAGGGTTTAGGGTTTAGGGTTTCGGGTTCAGGGTTCAAGGGCCGAACTCCCGACCCGGTGATGAGACCCAAAAAAAACCCGTTAACCCCATGATCCCTGATTCCGAAACACCCTGAATCCCTAAACCCCTAAACCCGAAACCCCTAAAGCAACCCCTGAGCCCCTGCGCCTGGGGCCCGATGACCGCCCTAGAACCTACAAAGCCCTAGAAGGGCCTTGAAGGGCTTTAAGGCGCTCCCAACAGGGGACACCAGTCCTGGGGTCCCTCTACACGCGGCTGTAAGGGGATTGTTGGGGTGTATGGTGTATAGGGTTTCAGGGTCGAGAGGTCTAGAAAGGGCTGAAAGCGTTTCAGGGTCTATAGGGTCTACAAAGGGTGATGGGTCTGGGTCTAAACGAATTGTAGGAGTTGTCCAGGGCTGCGGCCTAAAGGGTTTAGGGCGCGGCTTAAGGCTAGGGTTCAAAGCTTGCCATAAGCCTTGTCTCTGAGCTGGCGCCATGCACTCCACCAAGTCGGGACATTCGGTGTTCAAGGGTTTGCAACTAAGGGTCCTAAGGTCTAGATTGTGACCCCCCCCCCCCCCCCCTAATCCTAAACCCTCAACCCTCAACCCTGATCCTAAACCCTCAATCCAAGCCCTAATCCTACACCCTCAATCCTAAACCCTAGTCCTCAACCCTCAACCCTAAACCCTAAACCCTAAGCCCTACGCCCTAAACCCCACTCCTAAAGCGAAATCCGAGGTGCCTTGTCCGAGGAGGTCAGGCTTTTCCTCGCGGACATGGGCTTCGTGTACTACCAGGAGGCAACCTGTAAAATCTCAGCTTAGCCTCTAGTGGCTCTTAGTAGGGAATGTGGGTTTGGGGTTCCGAGTTCAGGGTTTAGGGTTTAGAGTTTAGGGTTTAGGGTTTAGGGTTTAGGGTTTAGGCGCTATATACAATCCCTTCAAGTGCTTGTTTTATATGGCGATATTCGGTGCTTAATCCCCCCCCCCTTCCCCATTTCCTACTATGTAAGAGCCAGTAGGTTAGTGTTTGTGAGCGTTCTTTTTTTTCATTTTCGCCCTTGGTTTTGTGTTTTGCATTATTTGGAATCGGGCTCCCGATGAGTGTAATCCTCTATATATAAATATATATATACCTCAAAAAATGCCCAAGACCTTCCCTACGCGCACTTTGCAACGCGTGACAAGCCTGATAGCAATACCATTAAAGATGAAAAGGACACTAAACCCTAAACCCTGAACCCTAAACCCAAAGCCCCAAACCCTAAACCCTAAACTCTAAACCCTTAACCCCCAGGGTTTGTATGGTTCAGGGTTCTTAACATTCCGGATGGAACTTGCTATTGGTGGCTGGCTTGCTGGTTCTTAGTATATATCCCCCTAGATACCATTTAAGGCATTATGCAGGGAAACCCTTAACCCTATAAACCCGAAAACCCCCAAACCCTAAAGCCCTAAGCCCTAAACCCTAAACCCTAAACCCAAAACCCCAACCCCAAACCCTACGAACAACCAGGGGTCTTCCAGGCATTCCGACGGGGCGGCTTCGAGGACATGGACACCGTCATGGCCATGTCCCAGGACCCCCCCCGGGGTGCCATGCTTGCGGTTTAGGGTTTAGGGTTTAGGGTTTAAGGTTTAGGGTTTGGGGTTTAGGGTTTAATTAGGGCTGAGGGTTTAGGGTGCACGAACCCCCTTTGCCTGCGACAGGCCCACGATAAGGCAGGTAAAGCCTGTACAACCCTACCAGCCCGACTGTCCTTGTAAGCCCTGTAACGCCCAATATCCCGAATGACCCAAAAATCCCTGCAAACCCTAGAAACCCTGTACACCCGACAATCCTTGCTAAGCCCGAGAAAGCCTATAAACCACCCACAATCCCTGCAACCCTGTAAACCCTAAACCCTGCAATCCCTGTAAACCCTATAAATCCCTACCTAAACCCTAAGCCCTAAACCCTAAACCCTAAACCCTAAACCCTAAACCCTAAGCCCTAAGCCCTAAGCCCTAAGCCCTAAGAGTCCCAACATGTAAGTACTTAGGAAGTACGGTGCAAGAGCGGCTCAGAAGGCGGTCCTCCTGGTTCTTAGTAAGAAAGGGGGGAATTAGGAGCCCTAGAGAATCCCTTGAAGGGTATATATCATAGGAGGATTAAAGCCTAAAGCCTAAACCCTGAACCCTGAACCCTGAACCCTAAACCCTAAACCCTAAACCCTAAACCCTAAACCCTAAACCCTAAACCCTAAGCCCTAAGCCCTAAGCCCTAAGCCCTAAGCCCTAGCCCTAAACCCTAAACCCTAAACTTCCCTTCAAACCACTCAGGATGACATGCGAGGCCTTGGCATGCTGCCAGAAGCCCAGCTGTAGGGAGAGGGCTTGCTGCTATTTAGGGTTTAGGGTTTAGGGTTTAGGGTTGAGGGTTTAGGGTTTAGGGTTTAGGGTGTAGGGTTTAGAGTTCCGGGTGTAGGCTTTAGGGTTTATGAGCCATACCGTTGTTTGATGTTTTTGGCGGCCCAGGGTGCCCTTCGACATCCTTTTGAGTTCAGGGTTTAGGGTTTAGGGTTTCGGGCTTCGGGTTTCGGGTTTAGGGTTTAGGGTTTAGGGCTTAGGGTTTAGGGTTTAGGGTTTAGGGCTTACGGCTTACGGCTTAGGGTTTAGGCTTCCCGCACTCCCCTCATTGTAATATGGTTGCCGGGCGACCAAGTTCAAGTTACTAAGTTACTATAGCAAGGTCCTCCCTTAACCCCAAGACCCTGCAACCCTTAAACGCTGAACCCCTAAACCCGAAGCCCTTAAATCCTTAAACCCTGCACCAGTAACCCAGAGGGTCCAGTTGTAGTACTATTTTGGAATTAGGTACCCCAAAACCCTATTTAGTACGGTTTTTGGGTACTTAATTCCATAGTAGTACTACAAAATGGACCCTCTGGGAATCCTTATTTAGGGCTGTTAGTATAAGGGGGAACATCCCAATCTATAGCTCCTCAATCTTGGTTTCACACAAATGGACCCTCTTGGTAAGGAAGCTTAGTCAGAGTTCGCGGCGTGGGTCTTCCCGAGCCCAACCTCCGTGGGCTGAAATTCAACTCGAAGCCCTTAGACGGTTTAGGGTTTAGGGCTTAGGGCTTAGGGTTTAGGGTTGAGGGTTGAGGGTTTGGGGTTTAGGGTTTAGGGTTTAGGGCCTTTAGGTTTCATGAACTCAAGGGACTAGGGGCAACCCTAAACCCTAAACCCCAAACCCCAAACCCCAAACCCCAAACCCCAAACCCTAAACCCCAAACCCCAAACCCCAAACCCCAAACCCCAAACCCTAAACCCTGTACGGGTTATATCAACATAGGGTTTAGGGCTTGGGGCTCATGGCTTACTTTCAGGTTGGGATGTTCCCCCTTATACTAACTTTTGCTGACTAGGGATGAAAGTACCCCGCCCCCCCCCCCCCCCACCCTTATTATGATCCCTATTAAGGACAGTTATCCTATTATGATCCCTGTTAAGGACAGTTATGTGAGTACAAGGGGACAACCCTTCCGGCCTTCTAAGGCGAGGGGTTGTAGGGTTTAGGGTATAGTTGTTTTGTTTTTTTTTTTTTTTTTTTTGGGGGGGAGGGGGGTGGGTTTTTCGGAGGGGGGGGGGGAGGGGGGGGGGGGGGGCGGAGGGCGGGGGGAGGGGGGCGGTTGTTTCCTCTCAGGTCACTGGGCCTTTGGGTGTTTTTCAATCATGCCTGTACGTATAGTTGTCTTTATGTGAGGGACTATGAACAAATCGGGGCCCGGCAAAATTTGAGATTCTCGACCCCTCACCCCCCCCCCCCCCCCCCCCCCCCCCCCCCCCCCCCTTCCACACGACTTCCTTGGCCCAATAGCCTGAGAATCGAGCGCAGAACTTGAGGTCTAGGAGCTGAGGTCCCCCCAAACCCTGAGCCTGATCGTCCAGGGTTCAGGGTTCAGGGTTTAGGGTTTAGGGTTTAGGGTTTAGGGCTTAGGGGTTAGGGTTTAGGGTTTAGGAGATAGGGTTTAGGGTTTGAGCCAGCAGGAAAAACTTCAGGGATTGTAGCAAAGTTGAACATCTTGTTGGAGCGATCCTAGCCCCGGACCTTGGCATACGACTTGGAGCCGTTCTTTGGACTTGGTCGGCTTGATAGACATTGGGGCTTAGGTTTAGGGTTTAGGGTTTAGGGTTTAGGGTTTAGGGTTTAGGGTTTAGGGTTTAGGGGTTTAGGGTTTTTAGGGCTTATGGGTCTAGAGGTTTATAGAGTTTAGAGGTCTATAGGGTTAAGGGGTGTAGGGGTTTAAGGGTTTCGTGGTTTAGGGGGTTTAGGGGGTTTAGAGGTTTTAGAGGGTTTTAGAGGGTTTAGGGATTTAGATACGGTGTAGGGGTTTGGGAGTGTAGAAATTTAGGGGATTTCGGTGGTTTAGGTGTAGGGGTTCATAGGGTTTAAGGGTGCAGGGTTTTAGGGGTTTAGGGGTGTAGGGGTTTAAAGGTTTAAGGGTTTAGGGGTTCAGGGGTGTGGGGGTTTAGGGGTTAAGGGGTTTGCAGAGTTTGAAGAGCTTGTAGGTTCACAGGGTGGATTGGGCTCAGGTTCGTTGTGACTTAGACAAAGAGTTTCGTCTCATGTTCTCATCACTCCCCCTCCCCCCTATGTTTTTGTTTGTGGTTTTCAACGGGTATCGGTTCTGTCCCAGAAAGAAGTAGCCCTTTCCTGTGTCCAGGTTGAAAGGGCATCCGCCCTAAACCCTTACACTACGTATACAAAGTTCGGCGGTGTCGGGTGAGTGGCAGCACTAACCGCTGTCGATGAGTCAGTTGCTATAGCCACTGCAAACGAGGTCGCGATTTGCACTAGCCGAGGATGAAGACAGTTGCATCTTGCTTCCTGCCTTTTCTGCCTGAGCCACTTGCACTCCTAGTACCTAGCGACCCCGAACCAAAAACCAAGCCCCAAACCCCAAACCCCAAGCTCCAGACTTTTTATCTGCGACCGCGACCCGGGGCGCGCTATGGTAAGCATGCAGTTGTCCCGTAGCTGGCGGGGAAAACGAGGTTTGCTAGAAGGAGGGTCGGAGTTAAAAAGCTACGACGCGGGCACGGGGCCGCGGTATATAGGGTTTAGGGTTTAGGGCCGTTTATAGGGTCAAGGGTTTAAGGACCCGTTTTATTCCTCGGCTACTCTTGGGTCACCCTAAGCCCTAAACCCTAAACCCTAAACCCTAAACCCTCAACCCTAAACCCTAAACCCTAAACCTTTTTTTTTTCCTAGCTTGCTCTGTCTTGGGTCTAGAAGCCCTATCTTCGCAACTTCTCTGAGGCCCGGTCATGTCCTGAAGATGGACATGAAGCTTGACGAGCCGTGGGCTTGAGCTTGGGAGCATTGAGGGTGGGTTTAGGGTTTAGGGTTTAGGGTTTAGGGTTTAGGGTTTAGGGTTTAGGGTTTAGGGTTTAGGGTTTAGGGTTTAGGGTTTCGTTGCTGGACCTTTGCAGCTGCGCTGTTCGGTGAAGAAGGTTCGCGTTCAGAGGGGCTCAGACAGCTTCAGAGAGTAGGGCGACCTACACGATTCGTGATTGGGAAGCCGTCGTTTCGGCCATCCGGTATGGGCATTTTTCGGTTGAGAGCCGCTTTTTTTAGTCCGGGAGCTCCCTGGCGGTCTTACCTTGGGCTGCTCTGAACCCTAAACCCTAAACCCTAAACCCTAAACCCTAAACCCTAAACCCTAAACGCTCTCATGGCTCTTGCCTTGAACCTTGCAAAGCTTGTCAGTTGTAATTCTAGATGGGGGTTTCCGGAAAAGTCGGAGTACCCTGTTTTCGGGGATTCCATTCTATTTGGGGTACAAAAAGGGTACCCCTAGTTTAGGGTTTAGGGTTTGGGGGTGCCCTTTGTTGGGAGTCCCTTTAAGGGGACTCTATTCCATTTGGGGTACAAAAAGGGTACCCCTAGGTTAGGGATTCTATTCTATTTGGGGTACCCTAAACCCTAAACCCTAAACCCTAAACCCCAAACCCTAAACCCTAAACCCCCTATTTTGGGGACATGCCCACATGATGGCGCGAGTTCCTGAGGCTGTGCAAGTCTCAGGGGAAGGTGCGGAGAGGCCGCATGGCAAGGAGTTTGGGGTTTAGGGTTTGGGGTTTAGGGTTTAGGGTTTGGGGTTTAGGGTTTAGGGTTTGGGGTTTAGGGTTTAGGGCCGGGGCAGGGGGAGGGTTAGGGATTGAGAGTCTTTCGTTTCCCGTTGGTTGTGGTTTCGGGTTGTGAGTTTCGCAGCCCCTACAAGCTCCAAGCACCTCAACGCGCTATGTGGTAGGGTTTATAGGATTTCGGGATTAAAGGTTTAAGGTTTAGGGTTTAGGTTTAGGGTTTAGGGTTTAGGGTTTAAGGTGTAGGGTTCCCTGAACCCTAGGCCCGAAAGCAACTTGTGATAAAAGCACAGGGTAACTTAGTGAGCCCTAAACCCTAAAGCATAAAGCCTAAAGCCTAAACCCCTAACCCCTAAACCCTAAACCCTAAACCTTAAACCCTAAACCCTAAACCCTAAGCATGAAAGCCGCTTTCCTAAGCCCAAAGCCCTTCCCCAAACTGCCAGGGAAAGTCCGACTCCCGATCGGCGGCATGCCCTTCCCATGGCCGAAGCCCTGGCTTTACCCTTTAGGGTTTAGGGTTTACTGTGTTTAGGGTTTAGGGTTCAGGGCATGATATTGGGCCGAAGACCAAACAGACTGTTTTAGACTTGTGCAGGTTAGACGGTTAGACACTTGCTTTAAGGTTTTTGGTGGGAAAAAGACATGCTGTATGAGACTTTGGGCATAGGCTGAGTTCGAGGGTAAGGATTCAGCCGGAGGTTTTGGGGGGGTTTAGGGTTGTGGGGCTTTGTGGTTTTGAGGGTTTCGGGTTTGGGGGTCCGGGGTTCAGGGTTTTGGTGTCGGGCTTCCGCCATCCTAATCTCAAGCAAAAGACCAGACCCATATAAGGGTGTTTCCAGAAATAGGGGTGTTTTTTTGGGGTGGGGTTCCAACAATAAGGATTTCTGAGAAAGCGGCTGAGTGAGTTGTAGCAGGGCATTTTTGCCCCCCCCCCTATTAACCCTAATAAACCCCAGACCCTACACCCCAAACCCTACACCCCAAACCCTAAACACAAAAACTCAGATCGTACGCCCAAGCTCACGGGCCCTGATTTCCGGTGCAGGGCTTCTACGGTTTAGGGCTTAGGGGGTTTCAGGGTGCTCCTAAGGCCCTGAAGTGATTGGAGGCTTGGCCCTAAACCCTAAACCCTTAAACCCCCAAACCCTACACCCGAAACCCCTAAACCCTAAACCCTAAACCCCAAACCCTACAAACCCTGAACCCCTCACACCCCCCCTTAAGCCCTAAGCCCTAAACCCTAAACCCTAGACCCTAAATCCTAAACCCTAAACCCTAAACCTTAAACCCAAACCCCAAAACCCCCCTACCCCCCCACCCCGTAAGCCCTAAGCCTTCAGCAAGGCCTATGCAGATGCATACAGCTTCGCCCACAGCAGCTGCCATCTCTCCAACAGCTGCCGCTGCCGCCTGCCTAGGCCGCTGAATCTGTTAATGTGGGGTTTAGGGTTTAGGGTTTAGGGTTAGGGATACACCTTTCTAAGGCCAGTTTCATATGTGCTTAATCTGGCCCCTTACCTTGTATAGGGTATGTAAGGGTATATAAGGGTTTCCCATTTGAGGGCGGTTGAGGGTTTAAGGCTTAGGGTTTAGGGTTTAGGGCAACAACCCTAAGAATGTAGTCTTTCGAGTGGAAGGTTTGAGGTTTTTGGCTCAGGGCTTTGGTTTGAGAGTTTAGGGTGCCGGGAAGATGCTTGGGAAGCAACAAGGGTTGCATGGGAGTGTGTTGAGCATTGGTTCTATGGGTTTGTTAGTTTAAAGTTTAGGGTTTAAGTTAAGTATGAGCCAACGGCCCAAGCGAGCAAGGAAGAGATCGCCAGCCCCAAAAAACGCCGGACAGTGGAGGCCGAAGAGAAGGCACAGAGTCAGCAGGGAGCGAGCGCAGGGCGGGTTTAGGGTTTAGGGTTTAGGGTTTAGGGTTTAGGGTTTAGGGTTAGGGTTTAGGGTTTAGGGTTTAGGGTTTAGGGTTCCGGTTTAGGGTTCAGGGTTTAGCGTTTAGGGTGGGGATGCCAGCAAGAGGGACGCCAGCTCGTCGATGAGTCGGGATGACTCATTTTGCGAATTTGACCTGCAGAGTTTCCTTGCTGCTGCGGTGTGGTGGAAGATCGTCATGACATCCTGACCGGCAACGACCTGGAGACATGGGCCTCAAGACCAGGCCATCAGGGATGCGCTTCTGCCGTTCGAGTTGCAGAACCAGGAGTCACAGGCGCTTTGGGGTTTAGGGTTTTAGGGTTTAGGGTATAGGGTTTAGGGTTAGGGGTAAGGGTTTAGGGTTTAGGGAGTGTGAGATTTAGGGTCTGTCCAGAGTAGGACGCGGAGGCCCAGGTACGCGCAGGCTGTCTAAGCCCAAGGGCGAGAGATGTATATATGTCTGGGTTTTGAAGCGTGGGTGCTCTGTGCAAGACGCGTTCCTTTTTGGTTAAACCTAAACCCCAAACCGACCCTAAACCCTAAACCCTAAACCCTAAACCCTAAACCCCTGTAAGCCTGTAGGCTTCCTACAGCCTAAACGCGCCCGGGTATCCATTAGCCCCAGTCTGCAATTTTCGAGACCTTCACGGAAACCCTAAATGCACGAGAGCTAAATCTCAAACCCCCAAAAAGTAGGGTTTAGGATGTACGGTTTAGGGTTTAGGGACGCCCTACGCCCCTGAACCCTAAACCATTCGAACCTGCCTGCCTGAAGGCATGTCTGGCATGATGAGCAGATCTGCAGTTATCTCCAACGCAGGCCCATCGAGTTTTGCGTTTCATGGTCGAGCTTGTGTAGGGCTTAAGGACGCTTTGGCGCTTAGGTGTGTTCACTTGATGGCTCTTAGGGAATGAAACCCTGTGAACCCTAAACCCTGAAACAAAAAACAAGCAAACAAACCTTCAAGGTCCCAAGCCCTCAATGCCCGGGCCTTAAACCCCAAAAGTCCTAAACTCAAAAGCCCCCAAAAGCCCTGAACCCTAGAAGCCCTAAACTCCAACACTAAAAGCCCGCAGCATCTTCTTCACAAGTGTTTAGGGTGTTGGGTTTAGGGTATAGCGGCCGTCCTTCACCCGAACGAGCTCAGGGTATAGCGTTTGTCAGGCCGGACGGACCAGATTACTTGAACTGAAGCCCAATTCGTCGTTGGCATAACAATCCCACTACATATGCCCATTGTGAGGGAGTATATAGGGTCCCTACTTCCCTCATTCCCTAGTAAGGACCCGAAGCTCACTCCCAACGCTACCTCCTCGGTGCCGAATACATTGAAACCTCCAAAGCTGGAATCCAAATCCTACATTCCCTATGCCCTAAACCCTAAACCCCAACATCTCACAATCACAGCCTCGAGTGCTGTGCAACTTGTGCGTCTCTGAACCCAAGGCTTCTCAGCCCTAAAAACGCCGGGGAAATCTTCCACACACACCTCGACTAAAACCGCTATAGATGAACATGGAGTTCAACCCAAAGCGCCCGCAGTCTGGATCATTCCTAAGCCCGAAGCCCTGTAAACCCTAAACCCCAAACCCTAAAACCTGAACCCTATAAACTCTTATAAGCCCTACACCCCAAACCCTAAAACCTAAACCCTATAAACTCTTATAACCCTAAACCCCAAACCCTAAATCGCAGGTTCCGCGTCGCAGCCTATTCTCGCTCCATCACCAAAGGCCCTCGTGGCTCCCAAAGCTCAGCACCTTGACTTGCCAGATGGCTTTGGCTTTGGGGTTTAGTCTTTAGGGTTTAGGGTTTAGGGTTTAGGGTTTAGGGTTTAGGGTGTAACCTTTCTACCCTGAAGCAAGAAGTATTCCTTCATGGTGTGGCCCGCGCCTTTGCTGGTTCTTGTATTGAGGAGGAGGAGGAGGAGGAGGGGGAAGGCAATGTGTTGTGCTCTAAAGGGAGTGGGGGTTTACGGTTTAGGGTTTAGGGTTTAGGGTTGATGTCGCGGGGCATCCTGGAAGTCATGGGCGCGTATCGGACCAAGGGAAACCCTAAGCCCTGAACCCTAAACCGGTGCTTGCTGGGTGCTAGTGTTTGTAGGGTTTGGTGGGTTTGGTGTTTTCACCCCTGACTAAGGAAAAAAAACATAGTTGTAATTCTGCGGACCTCTTTCTAAAGGAGGCCGAAAACTTGAAACCCTAAACCCTGTAGACCAGAGAAGCCCTTTCGTTCAGAGTCCTCCTTAGGGTTGAGGGTTTGGGCTTCCCAGTGGTTCTGCAGTTGCTTGGGGCGCTGGACTCGGGGAGTTTAGGGTTTAGGGTTTAGGGTTTAGGGTTTAGGGTTTAGGGTTTAGGGTTTAGGGTTTAGGGTTTAGGGTTTAGGGTTTAGGGTTTTAGGGTTTCAGGGTTTAGGGTTTAGGGGTTGGATACCCATTAGAGGGCGGCCTTAAACACCCAAACCCGAAACCCTGAGCGCGAAATACTACGCCACCCCTAAGCCCTGGAAGCCTCATACCAGCATAGGGTGCCGAAAAGCTTAGGGAGCTTTAGGGTTTAGTGGGGAGCATTCGGGAACCTCGGGTTACACACCGCCGTTGAAACCCTAAACCCTTGTCCCTACTCCCTAAACTGCCCCTCCCTGAGGGATCCGAGAATTCCGAAACCCTAAACCCTAAACCCTAAACCCTAAACCCTAAACCCTAAACCCTAAACCCTAAACCCTAAACCCTAAACCCTAAACTGCCCCTCGCCACTGAGGCTGGCGCTGAGCCCCATCGGCTCCCGATACTCAGCAACGACAGGGCGTATGAGGGCCTACAGGGTTTAGGGTTTAGGGTTTAGGGTTTAGGGTTTAGGGTTTAGGGTTTAGGGTTTAGGGTTTAGGGTTTAGGGTTTAGGAACCCTAAGCTCTAAACCCTAAACCCCAAACCCAAAACCCTAACCCTACACCCTAAACCCAAACCCTAAACCCTAAACCGTAGATCCTACACCCAGGGTGTAAGGTTCAGGGTTCAGGGTTTAGGGTAGGTAAGGGTTGAGAGTTTAGGGGACAGGACGGTTGATGCTTCAAGGTTTCAGATGCGAGGGTTCAGGGTTTAGGGTTTAGGGTTTAGAGTGGTGTAGGGTGTGAAAGGATTTGGGGCCGGGGGCTTAAGATGTAGGAGAGCTTTGGCCGGTAAGGGCTTTTCAAACTCTGCAAGCCCTAAACCCTAAACCCCCCAACCCAAAACAAGAACCCTTTTCCCTTGAAGAGAAGTGCTAGGATTTTGAGCCCCGAGCTTTTTCTAGGGTTCCTAGAGTTTAGGGTAGGCCTTCTAGGGAAACCGCAAGCCTAAATGCCTAAAACCAAATTGCCTAAAGCCTAAACCCTAAAAGCCTAAACCCTACAACCCAAAACCCTAAACCCAAAAAAGCCTGAACCCTGAACCCTAAACCGTAAATCCCGAATCTCAAGCCTCAACCCGAACCCCTACCCCCTGCATGGAGGTTCAGGGTGCTTCTAACCCTCCAAAGTATAACTGCGCTTATGAGCCCCCTAAGTCCCCTGAGTCCTCTAAGTAGGTTATAAGTAGGCTTATAATTGGGGTTATGAGTACCCATGAACCACCTAAACCCTAAGCTCTTAAGGACGCACCGTAAGTGCTTGAAGAACCCTATAGGGCTAAGGTGCTTCTCGTTGGCGCCGTATTTTTGGGGGAGTAGTAAGGTCCCCTCTAGACCCGAAACCCACAACCCTAAACCCTAAACCCTAAACCTAAGCCCAAACACCTGTATGAACCCACCTCCACAAACCTGAAACCCAACAAGCCCTGAGTGACCCCAGACCCCAAGGACCCGAACCTGAAAAGAAACGCCGCGCCCCAAACCTAAAAGTCTTAAACCCTATAAACCCCCTGAACCCTAATCCCATACATCCTAAACCCGGACCATCTAAACCTCTGTCTATGCAAGCAAACCCCTAATTAAGCCTCCATCTTGTATTAACCTCACCCCCCTACCCCCTAGCATTCATACTCCCACCATGTACAAAAATATATATGTATATACTAAATTATAACTATATTGAGAGTATTTAATATTGGGTGGTAGGCGGGGTGTTTAATATTGGGGGAGGGGATTCTGTGCACAGTTTTCCTCATGGTGAGGAACGCCAAGCCCCGTGGACAAAGACATCGCCAAGTTCAACTTAGGCCTACCCGAAACCCTAAATTTTGTGAAAACCCTAAACCCCTAAACCCGATAGATCCTAACCCTAAAGTCATGCTTCAGTTTGCTGGTTAGGGGGCTGGGGAGGGGGTGGAGATGATAATGTGGTCTCCTGATTAGTGTGGACCCCTCCAATAATGAAAAGTTTTCAAAAAATTATTCAGGGGACAAAAATTCGGTTGCCCCCCTCCAATAATGAAAAGTTTTTCGGGCATGGGTTTCGGAAGAGGAGAGGGAAGAGGAGCGAACAGGAAATGAAGAGGAGCCGGTGGGGGGGGGCCCGGGGCCGAAAATTAGTTTGGGGGGGCCCCTTTTTTTTGGACATTATTGCGGGGGTGGATTTAGTTTGGGGGGGGGCCCCCACACTAATCAGGAGACCACATTAATCTGGCATTTCAAGTTGGGGTGTAAGGTTTCAGGTTTGGCTAGCGGTCGGCGACACTATGAGGGCTGATCTAAGTATACTCAGCCTGCCATTGAAAGTCTATTTGTGTTGGGAATTAGGCCTCGCACCACCCGAAACCCTAAGACACGGGTTCCGTCGCTGGCATGCCTCGTGGCGGCCCTCAACGCCATGGGAGACGCGCACCCCAAGGAAATGTATGCAGACCCCCGGCAAGGGTGGGCCATGCTGCTATTGCTGCGCTACTCGGTGCAAACTGCAACCCGTCCACTCGGTGGGACTCACGGGGCAACGTTTGCTCAGCCGACGGGCCCCCTTCCTTGGCAATCCGACCGTTGCCCGCGCGCCGGAAGAAGCGGGTGCTCGTAGAGCTCCCCCAAGGGCAGAGGGACGAGGGTTTGGGTGTAGGATGTTTACGGTTTGGGGTTTGGGGTTCAAGGTTGGGGTTTCGGGCATTTTGCGGGTGTCGGATGGCTTTGAATCTCTTGGGGATTTCAGCTATGTTGTCCTTGAGTTTGGGGTAGTTCGTGCTGGGATCCTAGTCCCTACAGCTAGCATACCTTTCAAGCCCTATAACCTTCAGGTAACCTAAACCCTCTGAAACCTAAACCCTAAACCCTAAACACTAAACCCCTATAAACCCTAAACCCTCGACCCCAAATCCCAGGTACCCCTAAACCTCGTGAACCCTGAAGCCCTGAGTTGCGGGCCGTTCTTCTGCAGGTGCTGGATGGACAGATGGCCGCGAGACTGGCAGCTCTTCTGCACTTCAAGAGCGCAAAACCCCAAAGCTGGAAGCTTGAACACCCCAAAGGGGTGTTATAGGGTTTAAACCCTCATTCCTAAACCTCAAACCCCAGACCCTCAACCCTAACTAAACCCTGAACCCTAAACCCTAAACTCGTAGCGATTCAGGCCCCGAAGATTTTCGCTGAACAGAAATTTGCCCGTCCCGCCATCCATAGAAGACTACAGTGTGGAATACATGTAGTTACTGACTATTCGGGGGGAGGAGGGGGTGGGGTAATATTTTACGGGAGGCATTCACCTGGTAGCCTAAACCCTAAACCCTAACCTCTAAACCCGAAACCCTAAAGCTTGAAACCCCTTTGGTACCGGCGCCCTTTGGCGTACCCAAGCCAAGGCGTGACCACCGTGGACGAAGAGTCTGATTCTCGCAGCATGTCGGAGGTGGATGGTGAGGCGCGTGAGAGTTGAAGGTTTAGGGTAGCCCTAACCCTACGTAAACCCTAAGCTCTAAGCCCTAAACCCTAAACCCCTGAGGGTCTGACTAGGTATGAGGCCTCAGGGTTGCAGGGGGCGGGGGGCGGGGGAGGAGCTGTTTTTTGGGGGTTTAGTGCTGAGGTCCTGCCGAGAGGCTCGTATCTTACCGGAGCTGGAAAGAGAAACGGTGCCCAGGATTTGAGCCATGGTCTTCGATGTTTGAAGCCCAAGGCCCTATAAAAAACTCAAAATCATAAGCCCGGCTCTTGTTCCCTGTGGGGTTGGGTGGGGGGTGTGAGGGGAAGGGCTAGGGTCTTTAAACGCGAGCCCAAAAGCAACCCCAATGACCCTGTGAACCCTAAACCGAAGCTTGCGCGCTTCAGTCTAGCATGCCTGGCACCCTTCGTCTTAAGTAACCTAAAACATGGACCATGTTGTTTACGGCAAAGATGCAAAAAAACAGGGCTGAGGGTCTTAGGGCTTTAGGAGAGTTTATTCTTGGGTTAAGTGCTGGGGAACAGAGTTCGAAGGTCTAGCAGCTTTCGATGGGCTGTAGCCAATTGGGCGAACGCTCCTGGGGTGCAGTTTTCTTTGTCGGGTTCAGAGATTTAGGGTTTAGGGTTTAGGGTTTAGGGTTTAGGGCTAAGGGATCTCATCTAGGCATGTTTTTTTTCTTTCAGAGGGCTTTACCTAGCGAAGCAATACGGACTACCTGCGGCCCATCTCCAAGACAACGACCACCCCTGAACCCGGGGTTTAGGCTTAGGGTTGAGGGTTGAGGGTTTGGGGGTTTGGGTTTAGGGTTTAGATTTGGGTTGAGGGTTTCGGGTCTCTGGCGTACAGTTGCACAAAATAGGGTGGTGAGATTTTTCCCTTGTCAAGAGGACATTGGCCCCAGCTCCAACACCGACCTTAACCCGAAACCCTGAACTAAAACCCATTCACCCTACAACCCCTTTGACCCTAAACCCTTAAACCCTTCACCCCAAACCTTACGTCCCCCTACTGTGTGCAGTGTGTTAGGGTCTTGGGCTTTAGGGTTTTATGGCTAAAGACTTTAGGGTTCAAGGGCTAGGGCTTGGCGGTTTAGGGCTTTCCGGTTCGCAGCCCGATGATGAAATAGAAGCACAAGTGGTCACCAGGAGCGCACGTCCTCGGCGCGGCTGGGCCTACTTTGAGGGTTTTAGGGTTTGAGGGTTTGAGGGTTTAGGATTTAGGGTTGAAGGGTTTAGGGTTTAAGGGTTTCATGGTTTAGCGTTTTAGGTTTTCTAGTTTTGAGTTTTGGTTGTTATGCTTTCTTGCCCTTCTCTCCGCCCGTGCGGGGTTGCCAGATTCTGCGTCTGCCATTCTCCTCGCCAGGGTTCAGCCCCCACCCCCATGTAGAGAATCTTGAGAACCTCCACATAGAGTGACCCCTTTTTTTAATTGTGCTGTTTGACTCTCTCTCTGTCTCTCTCTCTCTCTCTCTCTCTTTTTGTCTCTCTTGTTGATCAAGTAAGTTGGTGCATGCTGGATTACTCCTTCAGCACTCCTCAGAGGTTTAGGGTTTAGGGTTTAGGGTTTAGGGTTTAGGGTTTAGGGTTTAGGGTTTAGGGTGTTCCAAAGTGCCGCTGTCCCGACCCGCGCCAGGGAGTGGTGGCGGGTCGGGCCACCTCGGTGCAGCGGATCCCACCCCAGCCACCCAAACTACCGCCTTTTTCGGGTTTAGAGCGGTCTACCCTCCACAGCCCCCCTATCAAGGGGGCTTACACCTCGAGTCTCCCCGCTGGCCGGGGTGGGACGTGTTGACTGCTGCTGTTGCTTGAGCCTATACACTTTCCTGGATCAACAGGGAGCGGGACAATCTGTTTCACCCACACTGTGTTTAAGACACCCTCAAGCCCAATTCCGGACCCAAGCTCATTCATATGGCAGAATGGCGAGGGCCAAGCGCGGAAGGCCGGGCCACCCGCTGGCGCAAGGGCTTCTCTGGCCCAGCTTGGTCTTTGTTGACCGGACCTCCTATGCTGGGGTCGCGCGTCTTGGGCCCGGCCTCCCCACCGACCGGGGTCGCGCAAGGGCCGGCGGGGGGCAACCCTGGCGGGCGGCGACCCTGGCGGGGCGTGGCGGGGGCAACCCTGGCAATAGCAAGGGCAACGCAAGGGCAGCCCTGGCGGGGGCAACCCCGCTGGCGGGGGCGCGATAGAAACCATTAAATCTACTGGACGTCTTAATTTAAAGATAGAATGACATTGAAAGACTTCTCATAAAGTAAAATAGGATGAAGATAGAAGTAAATAAGATAATGAATCCTGCATTTTTATTTGGTACAGCTTTTAACATAGCATATTGGAATAAGAAATACCATTCAGGTACGATATGTAAAGGAGTAAGTAATCCACATGCTTCTAATGCATTATCTGGATGTGAGAAAGAAGAGAAGCCGAAATGAATTTGAAGAAGATATAGATAGAGAATTAATATCTTTCCATAGAAACCTTTACTAATAATGACAGGAAAAATGATATTTTATTATTAGTGGGATTCCTTAAGAATATTAGAAGATAGAAAATGTAGCTTAAAAATATAAAAAATGGCGGGGGCAAACCTCGGGGGCAACCCTGGCGGGGCAACCCTGGCGGGGCAACCCTGGCGGCGGGCGGGGGCAACCCTGGCGGCCCTGGCGGGGGCAACCCTCACGGCTTTGGCGGGGGCAACCCTGGCGGGGGCAACCCTGGCGGGGGCAACCCTGGCGGGGGCAACCCTGGCGGGGGCAACCCTGGTGGGGGCAACCCTGGCGGGGGCAATTCTGGTGGGGGCAACCCTGGCGGGCAACCCTGCCTGGCAACCCTGGCGGGGGCAACCCTGGGGGGGCAATCCTGGCGGAGGCAATCCTGGCAGGGGCAACCCTGGCAGGGGCAACCCTGGCGGGGGCAACCCTGGCGGGGGCAACCCTGACGGGGGCAACTGTATATATGTATACATATAGACATATATGTCTGGAGTCTCAAAGGAGCTGGCGGGGGCCACTAATGGAGAACTTTGGGAGGGCCCTTCATAGAGAAGCCTGAATAGGCGAGGCCAATTCCGGGAACCAACCTAAGTAGGCTGGTGGGGGCAACCCTGTCACCCTGGCGGGGGCAACCGTGGCGAGGGCAACCGTGGCGGGGGCAACCCTGGCGGGGGCAAAATTGGCGGGGGCAACTTTGGTGGGGGCAAATTGGCGGGGGCAACCCTGAACCAACCCGGCAAGGGCAACCCAACCCTGGCAGGGGCAAACCTGGCGGGGCCAACCCTGACAGGGGGCAACCTGGTGGGGGCAACCCTACCCTGGCGGGGGCAACCCTGGCGGGGGCAAGCCTGGCCGGGGCGCAACGGCTTCTTAGGCCCGACCTCCCCCGCCGGGGTCGCGCGTCGGGGGTTTAGGGTAAACCCTAAACCCTACACCCTAAACCCTAAACCCTAAACCCTAAACCCTAAACCTCCTCCCTTAAAAGCCCCAGGCCCCCGGGCTCTTCGGAGCCAAACCCAAGCAGCGGCAGCCCGACCTCCACCGCGACCTTCACGCCCCAGCACCCTGGTCTTTTGGTTGTGGGGTTTAGGGTTTAGGGTTTAGGGTTTAGGACTTAGGCGTGTTTTCGGTTTTGGGGTTTAGGGTTTAGGGTTTAGGGTTTAGGGCTTTAGTAACGGCTTTAGGCTTTAGGCTTAGGGTTTAGGGTTTAGGGTTTCGGGTTTAGGGTATAGGGTTTAGGGCGTTTAGAGTTTTTAGGGGGGTTCGGCGCTTTGGGGGGTTTATGGGTTTGGGGTGTTCAGGATGCAGAGGGTTTCGGGGCTGCGGGGTTTCGGGGGCTTAGGGTGTCGGGTCAAAAGGTGAGGGTTCAGGGTTGAGACAGGTTTAGGGTATGAGGTGTCTTTGGTAGTTATAGGGGCTACGTAAGGTTTGAAGTCAAATTTTCGTGTAGAGTTTAGGGACGGCATTTATCTAAGGGTAGTTACGTGGGCCCTGAGCATGGTCCCTTACCTCCCTTAAAGGGTTCTGAAGTATGGGACCTTAGTTTGTGTAGGGTTTAGGGTTTAGGGTTTAGGGTTTAGGGTTTAGGGTTTAGGGTTTAGGGTTTAGGGTTTAGGGTTTAGGGTTTAGGGTTTAGGGTTTAGGGCATATAAGGGGCCTGCCCTTAGAATTTTTGTTGGAAGGGCCTGGGGTTTTGGGCTCAGGGTTTCGTGTGGCAGAGTCGAGGGTTGGGTTTGTAGGCTGTATCGGGGTTTAGGGATTAGGCCTCCGGAGGTTCAGGGCTTCAGGGTTGTTTCGGGCTAGGGTTTGGCTCTATTTCGGGCGTGTGTTTCTAAGAATACTTCAACATATCCCAAGCCCATACCCCTTGACCTATGAAAGGAGAATATTGGGCAAGATTACCTTACCCCTTAAACAACATGTTCTAATGGGCATGCCCAAGGGGGGGGGGGGGTTGTTGAGTTTTTCTTCTTAGAGTGTTGTTGTAGGTTGAGGGCAGTTTTCATAGTCGTTTGAAGTGTTGCTTTGGTCGAGGGTGTGCTTGTAATTCTCAAAAAACGAACATAAAGAAGTCCCAAAAGGTCTGTATCCATGCATCGTGATATTGTTTCTGTCTTCTCGGACCCCTTCAGAAAATTCGAGTAAAAGGGGTTTCTGGGCTGGGTTGCGTTGAGATTCTCTTCTTAGGGTAGTTACACGGTCTGTTAATATCGGCCCATCATTCGCTCACCCTTATATACCACTTAGCAGAATGCCCTATAAAACCCAAGGGCCCTATTTTCAGAACCCTTGAAAGAGGGTAAGGGACTATATTGAGGGACCAGGTAACCTGCCTTCTAAACCCTAAACCCTATGCTCCACACACACACACACACCCTATAAACCTTAAAGCCCGAAAGCCCTAAACCTTAAAACCCCTAAACCCTAAACCCTAAACCCTAAAATCTACCACACTTTGATGTCCGAGTCCGATGCGCGCTCACTCGTCCTTCAACACCATCGGCACGCTCGGGAGCGGCATGGTGGACGCTTGGCTGTTCAATGCAGGGTTCAGGGTTTAGGGTTAGGGTTTAGGGTTTAGGGTTTAGGGTTTAGGGTTTAGGGTTTAGGGTTTAGGGTTTAGGGTTTAGGGTTTAGGGTTTAGGGTTTAGGGTTTAGGGTTTAGGGTTTAGGGTTCAGGGTTCAGGGTTCAGGGTTCAGGGTTCAGGGTTCAGGGTTTAGGGGTAGGGTTCAGGGCTTGGACGCTTGGTTGCTCCGGGCTTCAGGGTGTGGGGCGTAGGGTAACGTACAGGGTTTAGGTATAGGGTTCAGGGTCTATAGGGTTTTGGGTTTGATCCCAAATTCTTTCATGTAGGCTAACTAAGAAAAGCAAGGCCCAAATCACATACCTGTATTTGAGCTTCATGTAGTTCAGGTGGAGGTAGTCTCGGATCCCAATTCCCCAAAGCTTAAACTCACCGGTCGGTAAAGCTGTCCTTATACCATAAGTCCCCGAAGCACGGTCTAGGGAGAGCTTTAATTGGGTTTTTCAGTATTTACCACTGAACCTCCAAGTAGAGTTCATGTTTGGGGGTGGGGGGGGGGGGAGGGGCTGCCCTAACCCCTAAACCCTAACAACCCTAACAACCCTAAAAACCCTAAAAACCCTAAAAACCCTAAAAACCCTAAAAACCCAAAAACCCTAAAACCCTAGAAACCCTAAAACCCCTAAACCCTATAAACCCTAAACCCTACAAACCCTAAACCCTGTATTCCGCGTTCTCATGAGCCTCAGGCGCTGCCACCGGGATCAGCCTTTGGCAGCAACTGCACTGGGCTCTCAGTGGCCCTGCAGGTATTGTTCAGGGTTCAGGGTTCAGGGTTTAGGGTTTGGGGTTTGGGGTTTAGGGTTTTAAGGTTTAGGGTTTAGGGTTCAGGGTTTAGGGTTTAGGGTTTAGGGTTTAGGGTTTAGTGTTCAGGGCTTAGGGTTCAGGGTTTGTCAGGCTGCAGAAACCCTGAACCCTACACCCTAAACCCTGAACCCTAAACCCTAAACCCTAAACCCTAAACCCTAAACCCTAAACCCTAAACCCTAAACCCTAAACCCTAAATGGCTCAAGCGCAAGTTTTTGCTCGGCACCCTAGGAGGGGGGGGGGGACCCTTCAGCTTAATGTAGGGGTCGGAATAACTACGAATAATAGTCCCTTATGGCCCCTGTATCTTTATACTATAACTATTCAGGGTTTAGGGTTTAGGGTTTAGGGTTTAGGGTTTAGGGTTTAGGGTTTAGGGTTTAGGGTTAGGGTCTAGACCCTAAACCCTAAACCCTAAACCCTCAAGACCCAAACGAAAAGCAAAAAGCGCAGGTACGCACCAACTGCAGCTCCAGCGGGCGTTTCGGAGCCGGCACACGGAAGATGAAGCGAGCTCCGGTTGCAGAGTTCGGGTTTAGGGTTTAGGGTTGAGGGTTGAGGGTTGAGTTTAGTTTAGGGTTTAGGGTTGAGTTTAGTTTAGGGTTTAGGGTTTAGGGTTTAGGGTTTAGGGTTTAGGGTTTAGGGTTTAGGGTTTAGGGTTTAGGGTTTAGGGTTTAGGGTTTAGGGTTTAGGGTTTAGGGTTTAGGGTTTAGGGTTTAGGGTTTAGGGTTTAGGGTTTAGGGGTTCGGTCGCGTGACTGGAGCCGCCAAGTTTGCCGGCCGGGGTTTTGTAGACTCCGTAGCTCCAACTTAGAGCTCACAACTCACAAGCGAGCTTCAGGGATTTTCAGGGTCCCAATGATGTGAAGCACTGCACCCTGGACCCTGAACCATATTCGGACCCTAAACCCTAAACCCTAAACCCCAAACCCTAGACCCTACACCCCAGTATGACGAGGGCTCGGGAGCAGCTCTTCCGCTCGGCCCTTATTCCCTCTTTTTTAGGGTCTCGGCTCCCTTCTGAGCCCGTTTAGGTCAAAAAAGAAACGCGTACCCTGTTTTTTCCTAGGTTACTCTTGGGTCTCGATGTGGGTTTTATTCACAGGGTTCAGACATTTTGGCCTTTGAGGGTAACGGGTGAGGGGAAACAGAATCGACGAAATCTTTGATATTCCCCACACACACAAATTAAACAACAGACCAAGCCCAACAGTTTGGAAAGCAGGGGAAGGAGGAATGGGTATATAGCTACGTTGTAAGTGCCATTGGTACTTTTCCGTCATGGCCTAATTACTAACCCAACCTTAGACCTCACACCCCCACAACTCTAAACCCTAACCCCGAAATCCTACAACCCTAAACCCTAAACCCTAAACCCTAAATCCTACAAGCCTCCCTCTCCCGCCCCTCCGAGGTGATGAGCTGGAAGAAATGAATGCCAGGAAGCAGGCTCTGGCTGTCCTTGATTTCAGGTTTAGGGTTTAGGGCTTTGGGTGTAGGGTTCAGGGTTCAGGGTTCAGGGTTCAGGGTTTCGGGTTTAGGGTTTAGGGTTTAGGTCTTAGGGTTCAGGGTTTAGGGTTTAGGGGTCTCCGGTTTTGGAGGGCTCGTGGGCGTTTACCGGGTGCCAAGTTGGAATACTGTTCTTTTGAATCTTTCCAATTGCTTAGCTTTGTCTGCATGGTCATCTCATCTTTTGTGGATGATTGAAAGCCGTACACCTTTTTTTTTTGGGGGGGGGGGGTTAAGGGCCCAGGGCAAAGTTTCGGGCTTAGGCTTACCAGTATGTATATATATATATATATATGCTCGCCCCCCCCCCCATGATCCACACATTTGGCCTCGGGAAGGCTGGTTTTGGGAGGGGGGGGACTCCAGACTCCAGATTTCCAGAAAAAATCTGGAGTACCCCCAGACTCCAGACTCCAGATTTCCAGAAAAAATCTGGAGTACCTCCAGACTCCAGACTCCAGATTTCCAGAAAAAATCTGGAGTACCTCCAGACTCCAGACTCCAGATTTCCAGAAAAAATCTGGAGTACCGGGACCCTGGACTCCAGATTCTGGAGTCTGTAATCTGGAGTCTGGGGCCGCGGGTACTCCAGATTTTTTCTGGAAATCTGGAGTGGAGTCTGGGGCCCCGGGTACTCCAGATTTTTTCTGGAAATCTGGAGTCTGGAGTCTGGGGCCGCGGGTACTCCAGATTTTTTCTGGAAATCTCCAGACTCCAGACTCCAGATTTCCAGAAAAAATCTGGAGTACCTCCAGACTCCAGACTCCAGATTTCCAGAAAAAATCTGGAGTACCACCAGACTCCAGACTCCAGATTTCCAGAAAAAATCTGGAGTACCGGGACCCTGGACTCCAGATTCTGGAGTCTGTAATCTGGAGTCTGGGGCCGCGGGTACTCCAGATTTTTTCTGGAAATCTGGAGTCTGGAGTCTGGGGCCCCCGGGTACTCCAGATTTTTTCTGGAAATCTGGAGTCTGGAGTCTGGGGCCGCGGGTACTCCAGATTTTTTCTGGAAATCTGGAGTCTGGAGTCTGGGGCCCCAGTACTCCAGATTTTTTCTGGAAATCTGGAGTCTGGAGTCTGGGGCCCGGGTACTCCAGATTTTTTCCTGGAAATCTGGAGTCCGGGGCCCGGGTACTCCAGATTTTTTCTGGAAATCTGGAGTCTGGAGTCCGGGGCCGGGTACTCCAGATTTTTTCTGGAAATCTGGAGTCTGGAGTCCGGGGCTCGGGTACTCCAGAATTCCTTTGGAAATCTGGAGTCTGGAGTCCGGGGCCCGGGTATTCCAGATTTTTCTGGACATCTGGAGTCTGGAGTCCGGGGCCCATGTTCTCCATATGCACGTTTAGGGATTACGGTTTAGTGTTTATTGGTTAGTGTTTAGGGTTTTGGGTTTAGTGTTTAGGGTCTAGTGTTTAGGTTTTGGTTTACAAGGTTTAGGGTTTACTTATTAGGGTTTAGGGTTAAGCGACTTGGGCAATGTCTACAACACTAAACCTCATAATGATGAAGTTTTAAAACCCCTAAAGGACTGAAACCCCCATGTTTTTTGTTTGGGGTTTAGGGTTTAGTGTTTAGGGTTTAGGGTTCAGGATGTGTTGTTTCGGGTTTAGGGTTTGGTGTTTTGTGTTTAGGGTTTAGTGTGTAGGTTTCAGGGTTATAGTGTTTTGTGTTTAGGGTTTGAGTCTTAAGTTTAGGGTCTAGGGTTTAGGTTTAGGGATAGGGTCAAGCGGCTTGGCTAAAACCCTAAACCAAATAAAGCCCTAAACTCTAAAATCCAAACAATTAGCATCTGAATCCCCGACGGGTTCTTGGTTTCAGGTTTAGATTTAGTAGGGCTTGAGCTTCCGGCATTGGGGTTTACTGTTTAGGGTTTAAGGTTTGGTGTGTAGGGTTTGGTGTGTAATGCTTGGGGTTTAGTTTTTAGGGTGTAGTGTTTAGAGTTTATGGTTAAGCGTTTAGGGTTTCGTGTTAAGTGTTTGGGGTTTGTGCTAAGGGCTTCGTGTTAAGTTTTTAAGGGTAAGTGTTTAGGGTCTAGTGCTGAGTGTTTAGTGTTTGATGTTAAGGGTTTCGTGTTTGGTTTTTAGGGTTCAGGGTGTTCAGGAATTTTACAAATTGTAAATGATCTGGGGAAGGCACCGGGGCTTCCCCAGACCATTGACAACTTTAAAAACCCTTATGTTTAGGGTTTGGGGTTTAGTGTTCAGGGTTTAGTGTGTAGGGTTTAGTGTATAATGTTTAGGGTTTAGTGTTTAAAGGGTGTAGCGTTGGTTTCGTGTTAGGTGTTTGGGGTTTGTGCTAATGGCTTAGTGTTAAGTTTTGTAGGGTTAGTGTTTAGGGTCTGGTGCTGAGTGGTTAGGGTTTAGTGTGAAGGGTTTCGGGTTTGGTTTTTAGGGTTAAGGGTTTCAAGGGTTTTTTTCAAATTTAAATGACCTGGGGAAGGCACCGGGGCCTCCCCAGACCATTTTTCAAAAAAATAAAAATAAATTGTCTGGAGAGGGCACCGGGGCTTCCCCAGACCATCTGAACTTTTAAAACCCTTAACATCTTATAAAAGTCATTAAAATTCTGCTTAAACCTTCTCAGGATTTTCAAGGTTTTAAGGCCTTTGAAAAACCTTAAAATGCTTAAGCATTTTAGTGGCTGCCCTTTTAGGAAATTAAGGATTATTAAAGTTGTCAATGGTCTGGAGAAGCCCCGATGCCTTCCCCAGACTTCCCCAGACCATGTAAGTTTTTACAAACCCTTAAAACCCTGAAATGCTTGCAGCTGTAAATGGCTGTCCTTTTAAAGTTTAAGGATTTGATGTTCAATTCTAAAATCAAGTAACTTCCTTAATTTTGAACGGCTGCCCTTTTACAATGTTAAGGTATTCTAGAATTTTTAGGGATAAAAGCTTTCAGGTTTTTAAAGGCTTTAACGCCTTTTAATCCTGAAAATTTGGAATGGCTTAAATACCTTAAAGCCCTTAAAATCTTAAAGGGGCTGCCCGTTCAAAAAAATAAAGGATTTTAAGGATTTCTAAAATTTGAAATGGTCTGGGGAAGCCCCGGTGCCTTCCGCAGATCATCTAAATTTTCAAAAAACCCCTAAACCCTCAAAAGCCTTCAAATTCTAAATGGCTGCCCTTCTAAAACTTTATGGAGCCACAAGACACACATTTCAGAAGCAAGATGTACATACAAAAACACTAGTGTTTTTATAGGGGATCATATAAAAGAGCTTTTTGTATTCCAGTACAGTTTTTACTGCATTTTTCCGAGGAAAAAGCAGAAAATCAGACAAAGACGAAGACCGGAAAACCATAGGTGTGGATCATGGGGGGGGGGTGACCATATATATATATGCTCGCCCCCCCCCCCCCCCCCCATGATCCACACATTTGGCCTCGGGAAGGGGGTTTTGGGAGGGGGGGGACTCCAGACTCCAGATTTCCAGAAAAAATCTGGAGTACCGGGGCCCCGGACTCCAGACTCCAGATTTCCAGAAAAAAATCAGGAGTACCCGGGGCCCCGGACTCCAGACTCCAGATTTCCAGAAAAAATCTGGAGTACCGACTCCAGACTCCAGATTTCCAGAAAAAATCTGGAGTACCGGGACCCTGGACTCCAGGTTCTGGAGTCTGTAATCTGGAGTCTGGGGCTGCGTGTACTCCAGATTTTTTCTGGAAATCTGGAGTCTGGAGTCTGGGGCCCCGGGTACCCCAGATTTTTTCTGGAAATCTGGAGTCTGGAGTCCGGGGGTCCGGTACTCCAGATTTTTTCTGGAAATCTGGAGTCTGGTGCCCCGGGTACTCCAGATTTTTTCTGGAAATCTGGAGTCTGGAGTCCGGGGGTACTCCAGATTTTTTCTGGAAATCTGGAGTCCGGGGCCCCGGGTACTCCAGATTTTTTCTGGAAATCTGGAGTCTGGAGTCCGGGGCCCCGGTACTCCAGATTTTTTCTGGAAATCTGGAGTCTGGAGTCCGGGGCCCCGGTACTCCAGATTCTTCTGGAAATCTGGAGTGTGGAGTCCGGGCCCGGGTACTCCAGATTTTTTCTGGAAATCTAGTGTTTAGGGTTTAGTGTGTAGGTTTCAGGGTTTAGTGTTTTGCATTTAGGGTTGAGTGTTAAGTTTAGGGTTTAGGGTTTCGGGTCAAGCGGCTCGGCTAAAACCCCAGAAAAACCCTAAACTCTGATATCCAAACAGTAAGCGTCTGAACCCCGACGGGTTTTTGGTTTCAGGTATAGATTTAGTAGGGCTCGAGGTTCCGGCTTTGGGGTTTACTGTTTAGGGTTTAGATTTAGTGTCAAATGTTTAGGGTTTAGTTTGAAATGTTTAAGGTTTAGTTTTTGGGTTAAGTGCTTGGTGTTTCGGGTTTCGTGCTAAGTGTTTCGGGTTTGTGCTGAGGGCTTAGTGTTAAGTTTTTAGGGTTAGTGTTTAAGGTTTCGTGTCAAGGGTTTCGGGTTTGGTTCTTTAGGGTTAAGGGTTTTAAGGATCTGGGGAAGGCACCGGGGCTTCCCCAGACCATTGACAACTTGAAAATCCTTCTGTTTAGGGTTTAGGGTTTAGTTTTCAGGGTTTAGTGTGTAGGGTTTAGTGTGTAATGTTTAGGGTTTAGTTTTTTTGGGTGTAGTGTTTAAGTGTTTTGGGTTTAGTGTTTAGTAAGGGATTAGTGCCTAAGTGTTTAGGGTTTCGTGTTCAGTGTTTGGGGTTCGTGCTAAGGGCTTAGTGTTAAGCTTTTCGGCTGAGTGTTAAGGGGCTAGTGCTGAGTGTTTAGGGTTCAGTGCTAAGGGTTTCGGCTTCTTTTTTGGGTTACGGGTTTTAAGGATTTTTACTAGTGTTCAGGGTTTAGTGTGTAGGGTTTAGTGTGTAATGTTTAGGGTTTAGTTTTTAGGGTGTAGTGTTTAAGTGTTTAGGGTTTAGTGTTTAGGGTCTAGTGCTTAAGTGTTTAGGGTTTCC